TTAAGACAAAAATTAGTTGAAACTATAGTTGCCATTGACATTCGATCCGGCAGTTTTTTTAAAAGGTCAATCCAAATTATCCAGAAAGCATACCGAAGGGCTAGGAGTTGTTGACTCTCCTCTAAAATATAACTGCTTTTTTAAGTGAACTTTCGTGTTATAGCTTGTGGAAGAGATGTATAGGCTGGTCTCATTCTACTAGGAAAGTGGATCCCATTGAAGTTGCAGTGATTGCTTTCAGCTTTGGAGTTGTTTCCTAAAAACGTCGATATATCCGTTTTGGGTTTTGTTCACCAATAGGGAGGCCTAACTGATGTGTTTAAAAAACACACCCCAAATGTGAATAACTTTGTTGATTGAAGTGGCGAATATATAATTGCCATGTGGCATGACTTCAGGTCTGCCCTGTGACCTTGCAGTGGTGTGGTGGCGTACCTCTATTATGCGCACGACTCGATTTCGAATCCTGTTTGCAGTGCTGATGAGATCCGGACGAGGTCGTAACTACAATCCATCCTGGATAAGAATACATTTTGCGAGGTAAGGGTAAGGGAAATTCAAGGGTATCTTGAGCCATACTCATCTCAGTGCGGGAAAAACTTAAATATCGGTTTTTAAATCACCTTAAACAACCTCTGTTGATTAAGGTTTGAAGCATACTCATACAAAATAAACGGTATGCAAGTACCATTTTTCATACTCAGAGCCTTCCATTTCGAGCCATCGCCTTTTAGGTGATTACCAAGTTGCAATTACGGTTTATTGGGAAATATTTAAAGCCCTTACATTATTTGGTTATAAATTCAGTAAATGTTGTCAGAAGTACGTTAGCATTTATGAAGAAAAACTTATTTTTGAGTACGTTTGACCTAACGCCTCTCAGGTCAGCAAGCAATTTACTTGCCTGGTGAGAAAGCTGACCTGACCAGCATGTCTATGCATCATAGAAATGGGTAACTAAGCTCTCGGCCAAAGGGAAGACTTGGCTTCGGGTTACGATGACGAATGTGGCATGATCACAAGAGGGAGTAGCACTGCGACGACTGTATACTGTTTGCTTGCATGTGTGTGTGTGTGTGCGTGTGCGTGTGTGTGTGTGTGTGAGAGAGAGAGAGAGCCTTTGTATTCGCATGTTGTTGCAATTAGAAGCTCACCACAGTGTCTGTGATGCTGAGGACATATGCATCATTTGTGCCTTCAATACATGACAGGTTAATCTGACCAGTTAACAGTCTCCAAACTGATGCAACCAGGCCGACCAGAAGGCACTAGTACACACACCCGACAACTACAGGTTCTGGTCTGGTGACCAGCCGCCATGCCACCTTGACCAATATAAATAGCCCAGTCGCGGCCTGGAGAGCGAGTAACCGGCATTCTACATCAATTTGTCTTGTTCCACGTCTCCTTTATTGGCACACACACATATATATACACGAACATAAGACCAGATAGGTACCAGTTGGTCAAAAGACGACGATTCCACCAGTCCACCATCGTTTTGACTGCGCACACTTCGTGAGTGAATAGAAATAGGGTTTCTGGAACTCATTTGCGTTTGTGTCCCAGAAGATGTGGCCGAAAATTGTCTGTGGCTACGACGCCGGGGGTCTGCAAATTCGATTGCCCCAGACGGTACTGTGGCTCCTCCTCTTCAACGCTATGGTTGCCGAGTCGGCCAGACCGAGCTGGTTCTTAGAAGGCGGCCCGCTGCAGTTGCAAAGATGGCTGCAGGGGCGGCCTAGTCTGCCTGAGGACGCCTGCTTGGAGATCCGCAACAACGAACGACTCGACTGCAACCCAGAGACTGGCGCCTCACAAAAACAGTGCGAAGATCGAGGCTGTTGCTGGCTGGCGCCGAGTCCCGGCATAAATGGAATGCCTCACTGCTTCTTTCCGGCCGGTTATCCGAGCTTCAGGGCGGTTCGGGTGGCCGAAACAGAGCGCGGCTATCGAGTGAGTCTGGAGAAACAGGGGCCCAAATACATGCCGGAGGAGGAGTTCACTCGCGCCCAGGCCGAGGTCACCTACGAGACTGCCAGTCGTCTGAGAATCCGCATCACCATGCCCGAGGTCTCACCGGACCGCTGGGAGCCGCCGATCCCATTGTCCCGACCGGACAAACAGGCGCCAAAAAGACGTGACTACAAACTGGTGTTCGAGGAGAAGCCGTTCGGCCTAAAGGCAAGTCGCCCATGCATCACCATCATCCTTTGGATAGTCTTTAAGTCCTGTTGAACGGAAGAAGAAGCAACGAGTTATGACCTTGTTGCTAGGGCTAGTATCGGCAATAGTAACCATAGTAACGCCTAAAGTATTTTCGGCACGAATAGTCTCCGAGAGTGGCAT